AATCACAGCAAGGAGCAGATCCTGGAGCTCTTGGTCCTGGAGCAGCTGCTGAGCGTCCTGCCCCCGGAGATCCAGAGCCGGGTGAGGGAGAGCGGCCCCGAGAGCTGTTCCCAGGCGGTGGCCCTGGCCGAGGAGCTCCTCTTGAGGCAGGAGAAGCAGGTGAGGCCCTTCTGCTGTGCGGGGTCCTGAGTGCAGGAGGGCCTGGGATGGAGGGGGGGCTGATCTCTCTCTCTCCCTATGGGGGTGTGTGTGAGTATTTGACGTCGTACCAGCGAGCGTTTAAGCGACAATGAGGGCTGAAGAGAACGGGGTTTCTGGAACTGCCTCAGACATCGAAGGTGCTCTCTCTCAACTGAGAGAACCTGCCCTTCTTATCCAGGGAGACTTCGGGTCAGTGTTGTATGCACAGCTGTGCCCTTTTCAGTCTCCACTGAATTCCATCCTCCCTGGCAGACCCCAGGTTAAACCTTTATTCTCATTTTCAACCTCTCCCTCCCGCTTAAAGATACACAATCGCTCCTCCTTGGCGTATATAGATTGTTGCGTCTTCTCTGTTGGGTCTTTGGTGGAGTTGCCGGTAAACCCGCCCTGCTCTTCTTGGTCTGGGGGTCGCTGCTCTTCTTGGTCTGAGGGTCGTGGTTGCCGGTCGTGTCTTCTGGCTCTGCCTCTTTGCTCCTTGATGCATAGCTGCTCTTCCATATCCTCGGGACAGTGTTCCTGGACGATGACAGGGGTACCCTGACAGGGGGGCAGTGGAGTGCCAGGGCGTGATGGAAAGCTCTGTTGCTTCATTCCCCTGGAAGCTGAATCCAGAGTTTTGGGATGGGGAGTTCTTCTCTCTCCACCTGGGAACAAATGGATGGGGGATCCTGATGCAGTCTCTCTCCCCCTGATAGAGGGGGGTCTTGGGGTTCTGGGTGCTCGAGCTTCCTGCCCCCCCCCCCGCCATCTCTGCAGGTGAGAGGTGTGGCCCGGAGAGTCCTGAAGCCTATCTCTCTCCTCCTGTACAGTTCAGTGCCTGCCATTGCAACTTGGGTCTTCTTGGTGGTGGTGCCTTCTTGGTGGACTTCCCTACCCTGGGATTGTTTTGTAATGTTGTGCTCAAAATTTTCAGTATTCCTTGAGGAACCTCTGTCCTGCTTTCTCTGTGTTAACAATAAATTTGTTAAGCTCAAGGTGGAGGAAAGTGCCCTACCCTCTAGTGTTACCACCTCCACACACACACACACACATGTTTGTCACTCTGCTCTGGAAGGGTCCTTCCCTCTCTGTTGTTGCAGGTACCTTTGGAGGAGGCAGCCGGGAGCATCTCCGAGGCAGGCCAGGATCCCTCTGAGAGCGAGTGGAGGCATCTCTCGATATACATCAAAGACGAGGAGGGCAGAGAGGCCAGCCCATGGGGTAAGGAGGGAGGGAGGCCTTCTGGGGCCCGAGATTGGGGAGTCTTGGAAGCTCCTTTGGTGCCAATGGTGGTTAGAAGTGGCAATATAGAGAACAGGGTTGGATTCCCCACTCCTCCTTCACATGAAGCCAACTGGGTGACCTTGGGTCAGTCTCAGTTCTCTCGGAGCTCTCTCAGCCCCAACTGACTCCCAGGATGCCTGTTGTGGGCAATGCTCCCTCTAAGCTGTGGATTCTTGTGAGTAAAAATTCTACTTTGTGAGCTACTGGCATTAGAGTTGTGAGCGAGCGATTTGGCTACTGCATAAATTAGTTTGCTCTAGAGCCATCCTTCCTAAGCTAAGACAAAAATGTCTGAGCCAGAGGCTAAAAAACTGTGAGCTAGCTCACACTAAGTCAGCTTAGAGGGAACACTGGTTGTGGGGAGAGGAAGGGAAGGCGATTGTAAGCCACTCTGAGACTCCTTTGGGTAGTGAAGAGTGGGTTATAAAAACCAACTCTTCTTCTTCAATCAACTCTTCTTCTTCCTCCTTTTTGGGCTGAGTCCAGAAATGGCTCCTTCTCTCTCTTCAAGAGCTGCATCCTTGTCCTTAGATTCTCCACAGGATTTGATAGTTTGGGGAGAGGGGCTGGTGGATTAAGAAGAGCCCTGTTGTATGAAGCCTAAGTCCCTTCAGCTTCTTCCAGCAGGGGCCTTTGGGCCATCCCAGGTTTTTGCACTCTCCATCTCAAGAAAACAGAGGCTGAAAACTAATGCATGCCTCATACCACAGCTATCACAAAACTCTCTGGAATTTACGACACCACCAGTTAACGAGGCTGTAGGTAATGTGAGGGACCTCTGCCTGTGACCCTTGAGAGCTGCTGCCAGTCTGATTACACAATACTGACCTTGATGGACCAATGGCCAGATTCCATATAAGGCAGATTTATTTGTGTTCATGTACACACCAGAGTCAAATACGAAGTGGCAGGGAACAAATCTTTAGACCTTTTTCCACTTAGGGGTACATACAGGGTATTTGGAGGGAAGAGAGAAGATAAAACCGGAAGATAAAACAACAGACACCCTGTGAGGTAGGTGGGGCTGAGAGAGATCTGACAGAAACTGCTCTTTTTCAGGAACACCTCTGATAGAAATATGGCTTGCCCAATGTCATCCAACAGCTGTGAGTGGTGGAGTGGGGAGGAGTGGGGAGTTGAGAAACCAGAGGCTCAAAAATAATGCACACCTATCACAAAACTCTGGAATTTACAACATCATTAGTTAAAAGAATGAGGCCGTAGGTAATCTGATGCAAGTCTGAGTACATAATACTGACATTGATAGACCAAGGGTCTAATTCAGTATAAGGCAGGCTTATTTGTGTTTGCAAGTCAAAAACGAAGTGATGGGGAACAATCTTTAGCCCCTTTTCACTTAAAGGTACATACAGGGTGTTGGGAGGGTAAGACAGAAGATAGAACCGGGTCTGTTGAAGGGCCAGGCCAGGCAGAAGGTGTGGCCAGCTCCTTCCTTGGAGGCTGAAGGAGGCTCTGAGGTTGGAATAAAAATGCACACCAGGAGATGGGAGTGACTAATCTGAGACTTGAGTTTCTTGCATGACTGCTGATTGGA